TCTTAAAACAAACCATCTATTGTTTTCTTGCTTGACTGGATCTAAAAGAAAATAACTTTCACTGTATGACCTAAAGAAATACTTTGCTAAGCTAGTTTAAATATCTGTTGTCTTCAATATATAGATCAAAACAAGAGCCCTGTCTTGTGACAAGGCTGGGTGAGTCAGAAGATCTTAGAAACTGGGTGGAATAAATTCAGACAAGCTCTAGTGCAATACATCTTTACAAAATACACTTTTGTGTTTCACTGTGTGATAAAAACACTTGTCTGGAACCATGATCTGACAGCAGCAAGAAACATACAGTGCACATGGAGCCCACCTCAATGCATCAATTACGAACTGGATGTTAAATAGGAGCTTGATCCTGCGTAGTTTACACTGAATACTGAGCTCTTTTGAAAATCTGGCCACGAGTGTCAAGAATAGTCCTGGGTGCTGAGGCCTTTAAAATCTGGCCCACAACTCTCCATTGAAATCAATGGCAGTTTGGGTGTGGAAAAATAGCAAAACTGAGCACTTCATGCAGACATTTTTCCCAGTAAATAGTTTTATAAGAGTTAAAAAAAATAGTAAAGCTGATTTTTAAAAATGTTGTTGTTTAAAAATTTTGATGAACATAATTTTTTGCCAAAACAAAAATTGGATCTAACTTTTTCAGGTTTTTTGCTTAAATATTTTCTATTTTCAGCTGAGGAAAAAATAGTTTTTATGGTTTGGGTTTTTTCAATTAAATCCCCATTTATTATTTCTTTTATTTATTTATTTTGAGGAAAATGTCAATTTTTCATGGAGATTTCTGTTTCTATGAAAACTTTTCACTGAAAAAAGATTTTTGAATGAAAATTTTTGACCATCTCTAAACAGCGCTGGGAGAACTCACCTGAGCCAACCTTGCTGGGTCCTGTTTGTGTAGGTTATGCGTACCAGAACCTGCAAAGTCTGGTCACAGGGACTCCACAGTTGGTTTGCTTGGTGTTTCACAAAACTCATGTGGTGTCCCTCCCCGGAAACTCCCTGCTAATAGACTAAGCCCATAAGTAGCAGTATCACTCTTTCTAATTTTGAGTAGTTCTGGGATTCTAGACCTTTCCTGGGATCTTTCATACAGTTGAAGAGGCTCGCCTATTACCATACTCATCATCCTGAAGCATTTTTTCTCATTCAATAAACAGCTGTCCTGGAATTTCTGGCTATCCCTAATCATATGTAAAGGTTGTTAATTCCATTTTCTATAAAGACATTTTGGTAATTAGATCTATTCTGAAAAAATAAACAAATTTAAAATATGATTGTTTGGCTTTTAACAACCAAAGTAGGTAGAAACTTTGGTAAGAAGCATCAGACCTTACTGTGAATGTTTTTATAACAGGCTTACTCTGTGGGCTTACAGTTTCATATGCAGCCGGGGAAATGATTAACAAATATTTTTTTCAAATTCAAATAGCTTCTCATATTTTCCCCTTTCTGTTTGCTTCTATTAATGCAAACACATTCACATGAATGTTTCAGAATGGTTATTCTTAGTCTGAAAGCAAGGATTCGTGTGTTAAGGACCTGATCCAGTGCCACTGAAGTCAATAGGAAGCACTGGTTGAAGGAATCAGGCCTAATAAAGTGATTTGCTTTTCATGCCAAAAGTGCTTTCACTGCTTATAAAGTTTGTCATCCAGTCAAGGAACAGAAATATTTCTATCTCAAATCACGAGCAGCAAATTAGACTAAGATATAGTTGAAGTAAGTATTTTCCTCCTCCCTTCTCAGGAATTAGTGTCACATTGCTACCACCATCATCCTTTCTGAGAGGATGAAAAACCATGAAGAACACTCTTCTCTGGATATGCTGTCCTTCCCTACATCATCCTTCCCTGAACAATAGTCTGTGCCACATCCCCTGTTCTCAAAAGGGATCCCTAACCTGAGTCACAATATGCAAAGAGACTGCATTTTCTGAGCAACAGATCACCAGAGTCTGCCTCTAGCAAAGGACTGGGTTGTGATGACAAAGCTACACCATTGGTGCCCATGGTAGAGCTGGCTCCTGGTATCTGCATAGGCCATGAACAGTACACATGATGACTCCTTTGCTTTGATAGTTATTACTTCATTTGTAATTCCCTTTACAGGTCATTAGTTTCCTTGGTCATTGTGTGCACTAACACAACAACCTTGGCACAGAGGCTGTTATGGGCTTGTGCACATGCAACTGCCCACAATTACTAGTTTTGTCTGTGCAATAACTGTTGTGAATGCCAACTGGTGACAGAAAACGGGGGACTGGCACAGGGTTCATGAATACTTATACTAATAGAGCTGAAATTTCTTCCCCCTGGGGAAAAAAACTTAGTTTTCATTGAAATCTTGCACAGGAAATTTTGATGTTTCCTGCTGAAAATGAGAGTTATAGTACCTCACAGGAATTGTAGTTTGATCCTTGTGTCCTCATTCTCCTCTGTGGACAGGTACCCCAGCTGCACAACATCTCCCATAATACAACAGAGAGTCTCCCCTTTTTGGTGAGGGGAAACTATGCAACTTGGAGTTTCTGACTGTGTTGCTCTGTGGGAGATGTTGTCCAGCTGGGGATCCTGGGACATAGGGGAGAATGGGGAAACAAAGAGCAAACTACAATTCCCATTGTTGGCCACAATCTTTTGTTTTTTGGGAAATATTTAGACAAAAAATTAATTTTCCATAGAAAGCAGATACTTTTTGCCAAAAAAAAGTCATCTAGCCTAAAACCCACTTTTCTGTCAAAGAATATTTTGATGGAAAATTTGCAACCAGGCCTTCACATAAACCCTTTGTGTGAATGTGGCAAGAGAAAACTAAACTGAAGTCTGAACTCACTCTGTCAAACTATATAGTGGCCTAACTTTTCTAGCAGTGATGTCTCAAGGAAGGCCAGACTCAATTGCCAAAAAGGGCAAGCTTTAAAACAGGAGGGGAACCTTTTCTCTATCAGGGGCCACTAGCCCACAGAAAAAAATCAGTTGCGGGCCACACACAGACCTGCAGAGGGGCGTGGAGGGTCAGAGCTTCCCCCTGCAGCGGGGCAGCCAACACTCACGGCTCCAGCCCCACGGGGAGGAGGGGGTGCGGAGGCTTGGAGTTTCCCCTGGGCTCCAGAGTGAGGCCAGAAATAAGGGATTCAGGGTGCGGGAGGGGACTCTGGGTTGGGGCAGCGGGTTGGAGTATGGAAGGAGATGAGGACTCCAGTGTGGGCTCTGGGATGGGTCTGGGAATGATGGGATTAGGGTGCAGGAAGGGGCTCCAGGCTGGAGCCAAGGGGTTTGGAGTGCAGAGGGGGGGACTGGGGCAGGGGGTTGGGGTGAGGGTAGGGATGCAGAATCTGGGAGGGAGTTAGGGTGCAGGAGGGGGTTCTGACCTGGGGCAGGCGATGCAGGCTCCCACTAGGTGGCACTTACCTCAGGCGGCTCCCAGTCGGTGGCACAGTGGGGCTAAGGCAGGCTCCATGCCTGCTCTGGCTCCATGCTGCTCCCAGAAGCAACTGCCATGTCCGGCCCCTAGGCCAGAGGGCTCTGCACTGTGCCCCTGCAGCTCCCATTGGCCCTGGCTGGGGGCAGGGCCAGCGCACGGAACTTCCCTCAGTTCCCTGATTGCCGCTTCGCCTAGGGGCCACACGGACATGCCAGCCGCTTCTGGGAGCTGTGTGGAGCCGACCAGACTTTTAACGTCTTGGCAACCCCAGCTTCCCCTGCAGCGCTCCACGGCTCCAGCCCTATGGGGAGCACCCAGGCTCAGGGCTTCCAGCCCGTGGCGTGTAGACTTGCCACGGGCCAGATGAAATGAAGCAGCGAGTAGGATCCGGCCTGCAGGTTCCCCATCCCCTGGTTTAAACAGGGCTGGCTCCAGGCACCAGTGGAGGAAGCACGTGCCTGGAGCAGCATTCCGTCCATTCTTGGGGCAGCGCAGTCCGGGCAGCTTTTTTTTTTGCTTGGGACGGCAAAAATGGTAGAGCCAGCCCTGCGTTTAAAATATCCTAAAATTCTCTAATCCTGGTGGCTTAGCTCCTCCTAACGCCAACGCTAGTCCCACCCTCTCCAACAGAACCCAAGGCCCCGTGTCTTTAATCATAATCACTCCTTTGGCATTGTAATTTCACAATTTAGCTGGAATAAAAACAATACCATGTGACTAGAGAACCCAATCACCCGGTGATAACAAACACACATAGTTAAATTTGTCTGCATGATGAGTTATCTGAGTAATTACAAACATAAAGCTAAAAAACTGACCTCTTCTAGCTGACAGCAAGTAATTTGTGAGAGTCATTGGCTAAATTGATCACAATAAATAGTACATTCAGTTGCAGTCATTTGAGTGGGCTGGGCAGAGATCATTTGAAGGCATCTTCCCCTTTTTCTCCCCTTTCTATTTGCCCTGGAGGGGGTCTCTGCTCCAGTAATCCCATTTGCCTTTGGTATGCTAGAAACAGCAACTTAATTGTGATTCTTGTGACATGACAATGGTGCTTGTGACAGCAGTGAGAGAGAGCGCCTGTGTGAGAGGATGTGTACCTCCCATCCACTGACTAGCTAAAGAAGGGTTAATTCCTGCTCTCCAAGTAATGCAACTTTCCACCTTCTGTGAAGAGACTGCCTTGAGTGAAGCCATGAGGGGAGAGCAGTTTGCTCAACTGGAGGGAACTGTCCTATCCAAAGGTGTAAAAAGAGGAGTCAGTGATGCATTAACCTATGAGGTACCTCCTCTTCTTGAACAAAGGCACACCCTGACTGTAAGAAGCCCTTGCTGAGTTTTCTGAATTGACCATGGCTGCAGGATATCTTGCTTAGTTCAACTCCATACTCTGGATTGTTGGGTCCCCCACCTGGTTTGAGTCATGTGACCTATCATAGATCATAAGAGAATTTTTATTTTAAGACTGACCTCTTCTAGCTGACAGGCCTTGATGACACTCTTATATCTGTATTCATCATAGGACACACCAAAGATGATGTTTTCTTTGATTGTTCCAGGCATGATCCAGGAAACTTGTGGAGAAAAGGAAATCCTTCCACTGTGCTTGATTTTACCTTCTGAAGGCTCCAACTCTCCCATTATCAACATCAAGAGAGAAGTCTGAAAATAATTAACAGTTAATGTATCAGAACAGATCTACACAACTGTAACAGATGCTCAGCATATGTGAGTCATCTTAATAAATAGCTTGTACTCTATTATGATGTATTCATCTTGTGCAGAGGGTCCATATAAGCACCTATCCAGCACCAAAGCTGTATTTAGTGGAGGCTTTAGTGGTGCATAGGCAGGGCCGGCTCTAGGATTTTTGCCGCCCAAAGCAAAAACAATTTTGGCCCGCTCCTCTCCCCTTTATTTAATTACCCCACCCCGGCCCCGCCTCAACTCCGCCCCTTCCCCAAATCCCCAGCCCAGCCTCCTCCCCCCAAGCTCTCAAGCCTAGGAGAGGGAGGGGGAGAAGCGGCGCCCGCGCCGCAGCCACTCGGAGTCTCCTCCTCCCCTCCCAGGTTTGAGAGCCTGGGAGGGAGGGCGAGTAGCGGCGCGCGAATCAGCTATTTCGCGCGCCGTGGCAGCAGCAGCGGAGGTGAGCTAGGGCGGCCGGGGCACATTTTTAGGGGCGGCATTCTGGCGCCGGCCATGCCGCCCCTAAAAATGTGCCGCCCCAAGCACCAGCTTGTTTTGCTGGTGCCTAGAGCCGGCCCTGTGCATAGGGCCCTGTAAAGGCTTCTAAACTGGGATGAATTTCATTCTCAGTAAATGAGGACAGTAGTGTATAATGCCGTGTAGCTATTCTAGTGTAGCAGCTGGGAATTCTGCATTCTGATCAGCTGGCAAACTGAACTGAGCAGATATTCTGGCTAAGAAACAAAGATCAAAACAGCTTAGACCAGTGCAGTAAAACTAACAGTGTAATGTAAGAGAGGCATTTTTTTCATATTTACTTTACCAGTGAGACAGTTTCATTTGGGCATACACATAACAGTTTGCACGAGCAATTGAGGTAGCTGCTTGATGTCTTGCTTAGTTAAGCTCTACATCCTGTGTTGTTGGATCCCTCACCAGACTTGAGTCAAGTGATGGTCGCACAGGCACATTTTAGATTCAGGCCTGCAGTGATTTAAATAAATGAATA